TCAGGAGGGAAGACTGTGACTCCATTTACTTAGCAATTCTTTGATTCTTTACTCAGAGCCTTGATTTTCAGAATACAAACTTTACACCTTTAAAATTAGCTTTACATTGTGGGCTTTTCCTTTTGAGCATCTGTAAACAGTGTGTGTGCATGTGCTCATTGCTACTATGTGGAAATGAGGGGGTTCTCGAAGGGCGGTTTGCCTATGTGACTCTTTGACATTGGTTATTTGTCCTAGGCATATTGGTTCTGTTTTTATAGATGAGACCACCATGTACTTGGTGCTCCTTCTATCCTGCAGCTCTTTTCTTACCTCCCCATGCTGACTAGCTTGCCAGGTGTGACATCAGATGCAAGTAGTGAGAGTCACTGCCCCATTCCTTGTTTAGATGGAAGGTCTGAAGTTCTCCCATTTAGAGTGGTGTGAACTGTCGGCTTCCTGGGGCTTCACTTTGTCAATATGAGGAAGTTCCTGGCTTCTCCTTTATAAAGATTTTCACCGTAGGTAAGAGCTACATTTCATTGTTTCCTTTATCAGTACTAATTGCTGCTATTTTCTTCCTTATCCCAGTATAGCATTGATATTTCAGTACTGAGCTAGCATCTCATTCTCGGGTTAGATTTCATTTGGTGGGAAATGCAGTTCATTTATGTGTTGGGAATTGCTTGCATCTTGGTAAGGATTCTTGTCATCTCTTTTCATTTTTATCATGTGCTTATGGCGTGTGTATGTGTGTGCGTGTGGAGGCCAGAGATCAATGTTTTTTTCCTCTATTGCTTTCCAATTTTGATTTTTATGTTTTAAAAAAGTAAATTATTAATTTCATTATTTTATCTTCAATTCCTCCCCTAACCACCACCTCACCAGTATATCTTTTTTTTGTATTATTTGTTTTTGTTTTAAATGCGCTGAGTCTGGTGCAGCTGGCATGTGTGTGGGGGTGGGGCTGTCTCGGAAACATAGGTAATCTTCCGTCCACGTCACTGAAGAAAATTGACTCTTGCTCCCCAGCAGCCATCAAGTGCCAGTAGTCCCTCAGCTAAGGGTGGAACTTCATAGGCCCCTCTTCCATCCATGCTGGGATTTGGTTGGCTTGATCTGTGGAGGTCTTGTGTATGCAGTCATAGCCCCCATGAGTCTGCGTGTGTAACACCCCATGTTCAGAAAACACCATTTCTCTGCAGTCTTCCCCTCCCTCTGGTTCTGCTGTCTTTCTGCCTCCTCTTGATGATCGCCCCCAACTTGAGAGGAAGGGGGTGATGTTGATGTCTCATTTAGGGCTGAGAATTTTGCAGTCTCTTAGTCTCTTGCATGCTGAGCAGTTATGAATCTCTGTAATAATAACCATATGCTGGAAAGATGGGCTTCTGTGATGAAGGCTGAGAGAGGCACTGATCTATGAGTATGAAGATAAGAACTTAGGGGCAGTTTAATTCTATTTTCATTTAGCAAATAGCAGGAAGTTCTACCCTAGAGACTATGATTGACTAGTCACAGATTCTTAGCCTACTTAATGGTACCAGATACGAGTTTTGTCTTGTGAAGCAGGACTTCATTCCAAGCAAGAAATGGTTGGTTACTCCCAGGACATCCATGCCACTGTGGAACCAGTGGGCGTATCTTGCCAGGCCAGTCATTATTGTAGCTTTCAGGGTTCAAAGCCGGGTAAGATTGCCTTTCTCCCCTGGCGGCATGGGGGATGAAGCTTTCATTTCAGAAATGTATTGATTTCTCCATGTTCTGTGACCCAATTGTGTGCGATCTTCAGCAATGGGGTGTCACCATCAAGTTCTGGAGGTTAACCAAACATAAGAGTATTAGCTTATAGTGTTTGGGGAGCATCTATGGAACCTCATTGTCCCCCAAAAGAGGTATCCTAGAGCTGGCACTGGGCTTTTTATTTGACAGCCTATGATGTATTTTCTCCCTGTTATGGGGAACTCCCTTTAAACTATTCTTGTATGTGTGTATATTTTAGGAAACTCCTAGAGAGTACGGTTCCCTGTGGCTTTTTCAAAGGGCTTTCCTGACCCTCCCCCACCCTTTAATCCTTCCTGCTCCTTTCTTCTTCTTCCTCCCTTTTGCCACCTGAGTTCTCTCCCCTCGCCTCTTGAAACCCACCATCATGGGCCCCTACCATTTTTATTTTTACTTCTGCAGATATTCCTGTTTAAATGCACAAATCTAAAGGTTTGCAGCTAGCATCTCCACAGGAGAGAGAACATATGGCATTTGCCTTTCTGAGTCTCTGTTCCTTCGCTCCGAGTGGTTATTTTCAGCTCCATGGATTTGTCTGAGAATTTCGTAATTTCGTTTTTCTGTATAGCTGGATAGCATTCCATTGTGTATCTGTGCGGCGTTTTCATCACCCATTCACTAGCTGACGGGAATCTGGGCTTTCCATTTCCTGTCTCTTGGGAATACAGCAACAGTGAGCAAGGGTGGGCAAGTGTCTTTGCAGTAGGAGAAGAGACCCGGGAGTTGTCTACCGATATCGTATGATAGATCAATTTTTAACATTTTGAGGAACATCCACACTGATCCCCACAGCGGCTGCGTCAGTCTGTGTTCCATCAGGTTGTGTTCTAAAGTTTTTACTTCTGAGTCGGAATTATATCTTCTTGTCTACAGGTAGCTGCTTGGGAGGTTGGAAAACCCTGGCAGCGAAAAATCCTGATGAAAATAACGCTAGCAGCGGAGCAGGTGTAACGGGCCGGTCACATGACCACTGACTGCCAAAATTGCTTCTTGCAGCCACCATGCCGTGGCTCAGCTTCCCGCGTGAAGGGTTTCACGATTCCATGTTAGAGGTTGCGTGCAGTTCCAGCAGCTTTTCTCTCTTAAGTCCCTCTTGTCACCTGGGGCCCTGGTCCACCCCATTCCTTGGAGGGTGGTATCCCCCTGTCTGACTGCTCCAGTACTTCGGCCTGCAACTCTGCTTGTACTGATGGACACTGCAGGCAGCGTAGCAATGGTCTAAGGCCCCCTGTGGGTTTGTGGTGAGAGTGTTGTGGGACTTTCAGGGGGGAATGTGGGAGAGGGTTAGCTGTGAAAGAAGGGGTGAATGTGAGCCAGCAGCCTGTCTCTGCATCCTCAGCTCAAGGAGCCCCCCGTTTCCTCCATGCTTCTGGGGCGACCTTTTTGGTAGCCTTTCCCATGGCCTTCTGAGTGTGCCGGAATCTTTGTGTTCCCACTTGGCCTGTGCTTTTGGATCTCATGGCTGTAACGTTCTCCGGAAGCTCAAGGTTGGTGCATTGTTAATTTCTGACATATTAATGAGTACGGCCCCCAGAAGTTCCTTTCAGCCCAGCCCAGCTGGTTACTGGCCCACCTTTGGGGGCCTCATCTTTGGCTGCATCCCTAGAGGGTTGTAGTGTAGGAAGGGACCTGACGACTCCCCATCATGCTCTCTCTGCCTTCTGTTTGTCCCCGAGAGTGGCCTGGGCAGTGTCCTCTTTCTTTGTGACCCAACTTGTAAACAGGTGATCCTGCCTTCTCCAGCTTACCCGTCTATGTCTGGGTCTATCAGCAAGGAGATGCGTGGGAACTGGTGTGGGGCTGGTGCGGGGCTGGTGTGGGGCTGGTGCAGGTAGGTTTATAGACAACACTAGACCGTGCTTATACATGTGGCGTTGGAGCAGGACCCTGGTGGCTTCTCTCAGATGCACAGATTCGCCCTAATCATCCTCCAGTGATGCACCTGGTTTTCTTCCTTTCGCCTAACATAAGCTTGCTTGTATTAGCAGCTTTCCGGGGTTTTCCCAGTGTTCCCATTGTGCTCTGTATTCATAGGATGAGCTATGCAAATTCAATACTGTCCATTGTGTGCAACAGAAGGGCGGGACTCTTCCATTACTTCCTGGAATCTTTAGGCTCTCAGGGACTGTGGCTGCCTCTTAGCTATTGCCCTGATAGTCTCTGTGGACACAGAGGCTTAGGTCCTTGAGAAAGGCACCAGGGTCGCAGTTGCCTATAGTCAGAGACGTGGTCTCTCACAGCCACCGTAGGCCATGGTCCAGGACAGACTGAGATCGGCAGGGAAGGAATGCACCCCGTGGCATGACTGCTTCAGCTCCCCAGAAGGAGGATGGCCAGGACACTGGGCCAGACAGGACGAGTCCAGCAGGGTGGGTAGGTGGGGGTCTGCGGGAGAGCCTGCAGCCAGTCAGAGCAGGGATTGAGCCTCCTCCCTCAACCTTGTCCTCCATGGTCAATAGATTGTTCTTCCCCATTCTTGTGATTGAAAGACCATTTTTGGTCTTCCTTTGCAAGGCAACATGGGATAGGGCATGAGAGGCCTGAGGGAAAAGGGGGCCCTTACACTTCAAATCCAGCACACAGCAGCACAGGCCTGGCAGATCAGAACAAGCTGGGGTTGAAATCAGGGAAGGTCACATCTGGAAGGTGAGAGACTGAGGCCGGCTCGCAGACAGGAACCTGAAGCCAGGGAGGGTGCCGGTGAATTCGCCAGGGTGCTTCGTCCCTTCGAAACAAACCATACCCTTATTCTTTTCTCTTGGGGAGAGAAAGAAAATGCTTACCCTACACAGATCAGGGAGGTATGAGAAGACAATGGCCAAGAGAAGGGGTCATCTTGTCCCTGAGGCTGTTTCTTCCTGTAACAAGGGGTCAGACTTTATAGGACTATTTCTGGATCCTGTTGGACCAGTAGAGGGAAGGGAAGGGGACCTAGTAGGGCCTTGGTAGGAGACAGTGCTCAGGGTATAGGCTGGAAGAGGGCTGGAAACATGTCTGTGAGGTAAGGCCCATCTATGCTGAGTTAGGCTTCTGGAGTCAATTGCTTGCTCCGTGGAAGTCCGTGTTTGAGTATCGGTCCATGGGGCTCTGGAGTCTGGGCAGTGCCTGCAGGCCTGGGCGTGTGCTGGCTTGCCTGAGCAGGGTCTGTAGACCCCACCACCACCACCTAACAGTGTCTCTCCTGGGCTAGCAGGAATGGGGGATGTCCTTGCTGTCTACCAAATGATGTTTCTCCTACTCAGGAGCGGCTGCTCATGAGCCTCTTGCCCCGGAATGTCGCCATGGAGATGAAGGAAGACTTCCTGAAGCCCCCTGAGAGGATTTTCCACAAGATTTACATCCAGAGGCATGACAACGTGAGGTAGGGATGGCACGTTCAGCAGCTTACTGGGAGGGTGAGAAGGTGTGTTGCGGGGGGGGGGGGGGGGGGGGGGGGGGGGGGGGGGGGAGGGGGGGGGGGGGGGGGGGGGGGGGGGGGGTAGAGGAGCTGGGAAGTGGATGAAGAGGTGGGGAGGGAGAGAGGGGGAGGAGGACAGAGGAACTAGAATATCTCTGTAGTTTAGGGGGAGGAAAGCAGTATGGTTGAGAAGCGATGGGTGGGTGTCCAACAAGGAAGCTGGTCCCGTGTAGAGGAGGCTGTGGCTTCTTAGGTGGCACATGCCAGTTCTCTTTCACGTTTCTTCCGCCAGTACTCACACTTCCTACGTTGGCAGGGAGACAGAACTTCGTCCAAAGAGTGTGTTTTCTTTTTTTAATTGTGGACTGGGGATTCTCCATTTCTGAATCATGGTGGAGTGTTTCTCGAGATGGGGGTCTTATCCTTCCCTTTCTCCTTCTAGGAGGTCGGAGGTGTCATTTGTATTTTACAGGAAAGGAACCCAAGCCTTCCATGTGAACCAGTGTGTGATATGTTGGCTGAAGTTGCTTGCCTGCTTAGAGAGATTCTGTTGAATCCTCTGTCTTAGCGGGTTGTACCGTCTTTTCAGCATACTTTGGATGACAGTTCAATGCACTTAGAGTGGCTGAGCTGTCACCTGTTTGGGAGTGCCACCGTGTGAGTGGCACTCAGGAGATGGAGTGGACACAGAGCACTTTTCTCTTCCGTTCTTCTGTGCTCTTCTGGGTTTTGGTGTCCGTGAAGACACAAGACCATGACGAAAAGCTCTCTTAGGTTGGGGAGCACAGGCTGGCTCATCCCAGATTAGTGAACGCTGATGAAGGCATCAAGGTACAGAGCGCCTGTGGCTAATCAGCTCACAGCTCTTACTCTGTGCATACCTGTGAATTCTTTCACTCCCTGTTGTAGGGCGCACGGTTTCCTTCCTCCCTCCGCAGAGGAGGACGCTGAAGTGGTGTGGAATGGGGCCCAGCTGTTTGGAGAGTAGCCGCAGAGCCAGCATGTGAACTCTGACAGCCCCAGAATTAGGGCTGAGACGCTCCTTGCTCAGTTCCTGGCTGTTTGCTATCCCCTCCCTCCCGTGAGCAGCTGGCATCGCTGCCTGCCTTGTGGGAATCAGGAAATTGAGATTCAGCCATGTGAAACGAATGTGCAGGATGCCCTGGGCAGGGGGTGGAGGGCTGGATGCAGGATTAGCTGCCATTCACATTTGATGTACTTCCCTTATTGCACCTGCTGCTCCTTGTTAGCGGGAAGGGACATAATTCAGTATCCCAGCAGCTTGCCCTGGAGGCGCACGGGCCACCAGGAGGTTTCAGCGAGAACCTGGAGGGCATACTGTAGGAGGGTGTCACAGTTGAGAGGCTTCTGGTAACTTGAGGGAGGAGGCAGCATTAGCCTTCTGCTTGCTCAACAGCAGAGATAAACAAACATACAAACTAGCTCTGCAGCCTTCCCGTGTCTTAGTTAAGTTTCTATCACTGTGAACGCCATGCCCGAAAGCTAGTTGTGGAGGACGGGGTTGGTTTGGCTTACACCTCCACATTGTAATCCATCACTGAAGGAAGTCAGGGCAGGGAGCTGATGCCGAGGCTGTGAGGGGCGCTGCTTACTGGCTTGTTCCCCATGACTTGCTCAACCTGCTTCCTTATAGAACCCAAGACCACAGCCGAGGGTCTTGGGCTTTAAGACAGGGCCTATCCACTTTAATCACTAATTAAGAAAATGCCCTACAGGCGTGCCTGTAGCCCTATCTTTTTTTAAATTTATTTATTTATTTATTTATTTATTTATTTATTTATTTATTAAAGCTTTCTGTCTCTTCCCCACCGCCGCCTCCCCTTTCCCTCCCCCTCCCCCAATCAAGTCCCCCTCCCTCCTCAGCCCCAAAAGCAATCAGGGTTCCCTGCCCTGTGGGAAGTCCAAGGACCACCCACCTCCTTCCAGGTCTAGTAAGGTGAGCATCCACGAAACTGCCTAGTCTCCCACGAAACCAATAGGTACAGTAGGATCAAAAACCCATTGCCATTGTTCTTGAGGTCTCAGTAGTCCTCATTGTCAACTATGTTCAGCGAGACCAGTTTTAACCCAGACTTTTTCAGACCCAGAACAGCTGGCCTTGGTGAGTTCCCGATAGAACATCCCCATTGTCTCATTGTATGGGTGCACCCCTCGCGGTCCTGAGTTCCTTGCTTGTGCTCTCTCTCCTTGGAAGCATTTTCTTAGTTGAGGTTCCCTCCTCTCAGATGGCATTAGCTTGGGTCAAGTTGACATAAAACTATCTTTTTTGTTTTTGTTTTATTTAGAAACATACCAATCCCAGTTCCCAATCCCTCCCCTCCCCCCATTCCCTCTACCTTTCCCCCAACCCACCCGCATATATTCCTCAGAGAGGGCAAGGCACATTGCTTTAAGGAAGGACCAAGGCTCTCCCTACTATATCTAGGTTGAGCAAGGTGCCCATCCAAAGAGAATGAGTTCCGAAAAGCCAGTACATGCAGTAGGGATTAATCCTGGTCCCACTGCCAGCGTCCTCTCAGTCTGCCCCAGCCATACAACTGTCACCCACATTCAGAGGGCCTAGTTTGGTTTTCTGTTGGTTCCTTCCCTGTCCGACCAGAGTTGGTGAGCTCCCATTGGCTCAGGTAAGCTGTTTCAGTGGGTGTCCCCATCATGGTCTTGACCTCTTTGTTCATATTCTCACTCCTCCCACTCTTCGACTGGATTTGGGAGCTCAGCCCAGTGCTTCACTGTGGGTCTCTGCCTCTGTGGTACCAGCTGCTGGATGAAGGTTCTATGGTGACAGTTAAGATAGTCATCAATCTGACTACAGGGCAAGGCCAGTTTGGGCACCCTCTCCACTATTGCTTAGAGTTTTAGCTGGGGTCTCTAGTGCCAGGTTTCCTGATAGCCCCATAATGGCTCCCTCAATCATGCTATCTCTTTCATTGCTCTCCATCTCTGTCCTTCCCCCATCTCGATCATCCTGTTCCCTCAAGTTCTTCTGCATCCTCCCCTTCTCCTATCCACACACTGGGAGGGAGAGACTTCATCAGCGTGACCAGTTCCCCAGCTGCTCTGGGGCTGCCGAAACAAGCGGCATCTGCAGTTCAGTCCTGAATTTCCGAAAAGTCTGACAGTCTTGATTTGCTGGGAAAACAGAGGTGGAGCTTTAGCTGGATGTTCTCCATGAGTTCTCACGCATGTGTCCCCTGCTCAGGACAGAGTGGACCGATGGGACCCACAGATGCCTGCTGGGGACACAGAGAGCTGATAAAGGGCCTGAGCGTCTTGACTAGAATAAGTGACGTGGTTGCTCTCTTCCGTGAGACTGTTCTCTAAAGGTTGGGAGCGAAGAGCCACGCAAAGGCGTCCCAAACAAAGGAGGAAGGTAGACCTGCAGACACAGATCTGAGAAAATGCACTTACATGGATTGCTTCACAGGAGAATAAAAATAGCTCTCAAGAAGCTAGAAAAGAATTGTGCACGAGGAAAATGAGAGTTTCAGCAGGGAAACAGAAGCACCAAGGAGTACAAAGTCAGAAAGCTTAAGACCGTAACGACCGAATATAAAATTCCCTAGAGGAGAATAGGGACTCAGGCAGAAAAAAACAATCGGTGAACTGGAAGACAGGTCCCTGGGAAGTCCCAGGCAGAGGGTCAGAAAGAGAAGAGAGAATGGGAAGGAATGGAGGAGGGTAAGGGGACTTGAGACGCCAGCGTTGGGCACATCATAGGACTGCTGAAGGAGAAAGTGGGAGAGGGGACAAAAGCTTTTGTGTTTGTTCTTTTTCTTCCTCCTCCTTCCTAAAAGACAGGATTTCTCTGTGTAGCCCTGGTTTTCCTTGAAATCAGATTAAAGGTTTGTGCCCACCACCTTCCAGACCATAAAGATTTTAGAAAATCTTTTCAGATAGACATGTGGAGACAGAAATGGGCTTCCAGAACTAGGAAACATATATGACACCGAATAAGATGACCTTAAAGAAATTTACATGACAAAATCCTGTAAAGTTGAGACAAAGTGAGAATTCTGAAAACAGCAGCAGAAAGTGCCTTCCTGTAAATAACAGCATCCCCACCAGGTTGTCTGTGGATCTTTAGGCAGAAACCGTGCAGGGCAGAGAGCGTAAGTGACATATTCCAAATATTTAAAGCACACGACAGAAACTCCATAGACCAGAGGTGCCGCGCCTGAGACATCCTTCTGCAGGCCACCGGAAACATGTGGTAGACAGGTAAACATGTGGCAAACAGGTAAACAAATGTGAAAAAGTTAAAAGTCAAAGGTTTTTACATAACTTAATATACGATACAAGTACATGTAAACTGTGGTGAGCAGATTATGGAAGAGGTATTAAATAGTACATTTTCTTCTGTGTGACGCAACAGCAGTATGATATCAAGAAGTTAACCGAAACAAAAAAGAGAAAATAATCACAGCATTCCAATCCAGAAAACCAACAAACAGCAGCTTAACACGTAAGAGAATGCAAACAAAAGATCCACAGGCCCAAGAGGCAGTGTGAGCCATAAAGGCAGTGGGAGCCCTTCTCCATCAATACTCCATGTGTCGCTGGGGTAAAATCCCCCATCACTCAAAAGACAGAATGGCTGATGGGAACATCGGTCAAACAGACACAAGTCAAACCAGTGACCGAGCAGTCTCACCATACTTCGTGTGCAGGAAGCTTGCTTCATGAGGACGCACCTCCAGCTGGAGGGGAAGAGGTGAAGAGCGTCTGTGTGAACGAGAACCAGGGGAGAGCAAGTATACTCTTGCCGACATGGTCAGAAGAGATGGCATTTCATCATGGTTGAGGAGCCAGTTTGCAATAACAGTCATAAAAGCCCACACCCAACACAAAACACTGAAATATGCAAAGCAAGCATCGATAGACCTGAAAGGGGAGTTGTCCATCAAATCAATAGTAATCCACTTTTTCTGATGGTAAGCAGAGCGTTCAGACAGAAGGGTAACGAGAGAGGAAGACGATGATTAACACTGTAGATTTGGTGCCAGTAGATGGAAGAGACTGGACCATCCCACTCAGCAGTAGAATCTACATTCTTCTCAAGTGCCTGTGACTCTTTCTCTTTCACAGAACACACAAGGTCATGTAAAAAATCTCAATAAATTTGAGAGAAGTAAATCATACTATATTTCTGACCTAAAAGCACTGGATTTCTTGACTACAAATTATACTGCAAAGCTGTCATGATTGAAACAGTATGACATGAAAACAGAAATTTAGACAGGATGAAATAGAATAAGGAACCCAGAATACATGTACCCAACGTGCCCTCAAGAGTGGCAAACATGAAATAAGGGAAGGGTTATCTTCAGTAGATAGTGCTCGAAAAGCCAAACATCCACACATGGAACAATGAAATTGGACCTTCATCTGATACCATATACGCAATCAACTAAAATTGATTATAACCTGAAATGTATAAAATCCTAGAAAGAAAAATGGGCTGAGTTCTATGACATTGTTTTTTTGGCAATGATTTCATAGCAGCAATAGCAGGAGTAACTGGAATTAGATCCAGCTTGGTGATTCATCAAACTCCGGCAATCACCCAGGAGTGTGTCCTCGGGAGAAACCGCTGGGCATCAAGACTGGGACTCTGTGGCTTCAGCACCCGTCCCCTTGCTCTTTCTCTTAAGCTCCACAGCCTCTGGAGGCTGAGAATGTGCCCCTTCAAAGCTCTGCACTCAGAATTGTCAGGGTTTGCTGACCTGGTGATTCCCTGGGAAGCCCTCTCATTGGCCTTTGCCAGCAGCCCTGACTCAGCCCCGCCTCAGCCACAGCCTCAGCCGCTCAGAGCCTTTGTTGGAAACAGCCCAGGGTGATCCTTCAGCACTGCAGCTGCTTCCGGCAGCGGTGACAGTTGAGGCAGGCAGCAAGGTGACTGGAAATAATGAAAGGGACAGCTGGGTACTGAATGAACATGGGGGTCCTGTGCAAAGGTCTAGGCACAGATGTGGGAATTTCAGAAGACCAAGCCTATGCAGAATTAGTTTGCACAGAACGTCCAAACCAGTCGTGACCAGAACCCTCAGATGGGCATGGGCGAGACTCATTTCTAGAGTTGCTGTCTTGTGCTCTCAGATATATTGGATATGCTGCAAAAAGTGTGCATGGCTCATACATGAGCAAAACAAGCAGTCAGCAGAAACCGTCCCCAAGGAAGCCTAGACATTGGGATTCTTAGACGAACATTTGAAGTCAGCGATTTTAAATGTGTTCAAACTGTCTGTGCAATTAAAGGAAGCCATGGCGATGTTTCCTCACCAAACAGAGGATACCAACAGTGCAGACTTTTTTTTTAAAAATAACCAAATCAAATAGAACTTCTAAATTTAAGACGTACAAGTGAGGTGAAAATTTTCTGGAGGGGTTCAGTTGCTGACTTGAGCCGGCAGCGGGAGAATAAGAGAACTTAATGGCAGAGCCAGGAGCGTCGCCATGCAGCAGGAGGGTGGGGAAAATGGAGAACCAGGAAGGGTTTCAGAACGCTGTGAGGTGCTATCAAGCTTATCAACACACACGTGTTGAGATTCCCTAGGCAAGGGAAGAAGACAGGACTTTTGAAAAAACAGTGACTAAAAATAGTCCTTAAAACAACACCCCCCCCCACACCATATTAATCTATTTATCCAAGAAGCTTGATGTGTTTTAAAGTGAATAAACTTAGAGACCCACACCAAGGCATATCCTAGTCAAAGTGATGACAGCCAGAGATGCAGGCAGAATCTGAAAGCAACAGGAGAGAGAGGGCTATCTAGAAGTGATCTTGGTTTATGGAGATGAGGGCAGGGCCAGAAGCCAGCAGGAAGGTACGTTCAAAGGCTGGAGTAAAAAGGGAAGAGCTCTGCGTCCTCCAGGACACGGGAGCTGCAGCACTGGCCCCTCCACAGAAGCTCCATTCGCTCCGTGGCTCCTTAGCTCCCTGCTCTCTTCTTGCCGGGCAAAGCTGGTCCGCTCATAGCTGGAAGTCTAGGCCCCTCAACCTTCTCCTTGTCTCTTTCCACCACAGATAAATAAAATGCCTTGACATATTTCAAACGTCCCCTTCCCCTGGCCAGAAGAATCCCGAGGGCAGAGGTATTTATTGGAATCTCCTGTTTATGGTCCATCCCAAGCACCCGTCCAGCATAGCTAGCCCTTCGTGAGCAGCCGGCAAGTAAATAACACTTCAGATGAGTGTGAATGGAGGACCAGGAGGAAACAGTGGTTTGAACTCAGACTGTGACACCACAGCAAGACCTGCACAGCCTCAAGCCACACAAAATCCCAGCAGGGGGAGGGGAAGTGGACATAAATTCTGAAAGATGCTGGAAGAGGGAAAATCAGTGGAGCACCCAGCCTCATGCTCGGAAGTAGTTGGCCAACACAAAACAGACGCCATGTTTTTTTTTTTGTTTTGTTTTTTTTGTTTTGGTTTCTCTCTCTATGTGTGTATGCATTCATGCTTGAATTTTATTTTTTTAAATTTGGTTTGGTTTTAGTTTTGTGTTTTTTGTTTAAAGAGAGAGAAGGGACATGAAGTTAGGTAGATGGGTTGGGGGAGGAACCTGGAGAGGGGAAAGAATGTGATTAAAATATACTGTATGAAAAAATTTAAAAACAGAAGAGATAAAAATATTGTATATGGTTATGGACATGTGCACGCTCATTTCCGCGTCGCAGATGAGAAGTGGGCATGAGGAAGGGCAAACAGTCTCCTCGCTGTAGCTGGTGGAGTGGGGCTGTTCTGCCAGAGCCCAGCGCTAACCCCTGCTCCCCTCCGGTACTGTCCGGCCTGGCTTATCTTTGGCAACACCCTCTGTTGTCCACAAGAGCGCTCATTTCTTTTTGCCTGACATTTGTAGCTCCCACAGAGGGGTGCAGAAGGGGGAGCGTCTTGCTCCCTGAAATTATGGGAAAGCTCTGAATATTTGAGCAGCATAGTTAAAGACAGACCTTAAAGCTAAACAACGTTTAAAAACAATATTTTTCATCTCTCATATGTTTGCAGAATATGTTTTCGTTTTGAAAGAGAAAATAATAGGAAAATACCTTTTAGAATCTTATCTTCTGTAGAAAATTGAGCAGGCACCATGTTCTAGAGACTGGCCCCAGTTCTGCAATAAATAATCACCTAATACTTGGGGGGTGTCATGTGGGGCTATGAACCTTCAACACCAGTGGTTCTCAACTTTCCAAATGCGTTAATATATATCCTTTCTCATGCATGATGACCCCCCCAACCATAAAGTTTTTTTTCTTTGCTACTGTTATGAATCATAATGTAAACAGCCATATTTCTTATAGTCTTAGGTGAGCCCTGTGAAAGGGTTATTTGAACCCCCCTCCAAACACAAAGGAGTCACAACTCACAGGTTAAGAACCGCTGCTCTACACAGTTATTTAGGGCTTTGGTTCTGACACTCTGATGGGCACATGCATCCACGTAGCAGAAGAAGATGGCTGGTGGGAATGGACCATTCCTTTCTTAAAAGCTAGACACTCTACTTCCTGCCCCTGGCCCCAATGTAGATGCCCATGGTGAGCTATTGGGAAGCTAGTAAGAGCTCCCTATGTGGGGTGAGGGATCAGCATGAGGGATGGCAAGCTCAAGTGGCCCAGCAACTAATCTCTCTGTGACCAAGAGGTGTGCCTTGCGGCTGTCCTAAGCCTAGGTCCTCTTGCCTATAAAAGAAAGAAGAAGTGTTGTGGGTTAATACTTTTTTATACTATAAAGGTTTGTCTTCATATTGGTTTAATAAAGCATTGATTGGCCCATAGCCAGGCAGGAAGTATAGGCAGGGCAGCCAGACTAGGAGAATTCTGGGAAGAGGAAAGAGACAGTTGGCAGTCAGACCCAGAGGAAGCAAGATGAGAATGCCTTACTCAGAAAAGGTACCAAGCCACGTGGCTAAATATAGATAAGAATTATGGGTTAATATAAGTTGTAAGAGCTAGTTAGTAATAAGCTTGAGCTATAGGCCAAACAGTTTATAACTAATATAAGCCTCTGTGTGTTTATTTGGGACTGAATGACTGTGGGGCCTGGCAGGATAGAAACTTCCATGTACAATGAAGTCTACAAGTCAGCTTTCAGGAGTAAGCAAGGGTATAGATGGAAAAGGCTATGCAACTCTTAGCTCATCATTTCCTAAGTGACCAAGGAGAGGTGACCTGGATCCCCTTCCTCTTGCAGCATCCTGTTTGCAGACATTGTGGGGTTCACAGGTCTGGCATCCCAGTGCACGGCCCAGGAGCTGGTGAAACTGCTCAACGAACTCTTCGGCAAGTTCGACGAGTTAGCCACGGTAAGCACAATGTTTGCTTTTGTTCTCTTGATTAAGCCAGAGCGCTTCTGGAGTGGTGCTCTGTCCAGCCAGCCTCGGTATCTGCAGTATAGGGGCCTCACTGGTCAGTGGTTCTACGTTAGGCCTAAGTTTGGTACCTGCACTTCATAAGTTACACTGGCTCCTTCCAAGAGGCGTTCAGATGGAACCGTGTCCTGCGGGCTGCACTTGGCCTTGGCCAGCCTGGCACTGTGCACCTGGGACGATCACAGCCCCCTCTCTACCTGTGCCTCTTCTGGGGCTGGCCTTGCTCTGGGGTTGCCCTCCTTCTGAGCTGGAAAATGCCTGCTACCTCTTCCCCCAGTCCCTGCTGAAACCCCTGCTCCTGGTGATTCTACTGCAGACTCTCCCTTCCCCAGCCCCTGCTGATGCTAGGAATGTTGGGGATGCTCACCAGGCTTCCTGCTGGAATTCTTAACATTTGGCACTTGTGGTAGGTAAGCCTTGCTGAAGGGTGGCACTCTGTCCTTAGGCTCCACGTCTCTGTGTGAGAGCCTAGTGTATGGTCTTAGGAGTCCTTTGCACTTCTGGAACTTTACCCTGTAGGCTGAAATCCCTGTAGCTCACCCGTCTTTTAGATCTACACTGATCCTGGCTCCCAGCCTGTGTAGGTGGGGGCAAGTTCCACAGCGCACCAGCTGTACCTGAGGAAGAGTGGGAACCACTGACAGAGGGAGGGAGGGAGGGAGGGAGGGAGGGAGGGAGGGAGCAGAAGGCAGAGGTGGGAACACTTGAGCATGTAATTTATTGGGGTGCTACTGCCTGTCTTACCTCCTAACCATCTTTACCCTTCAAGGTGGTGAAGGGGTTTATTGTGGAGTTACATTCTCTTTTTCCTAGCCTTGGCCCGGGTAGGGCATGGGTGCTGGGAAACTGAGGGGCATGGGTAGCCATTTCCTCGGTGAAGGCAGCAGGGAAGGGTTTCTTAGTGAAGTGAGTTGGGCAGCCAGGGCTGGTGCGACTTGTCAGAATTGGGTGCAGTGCTGGCTGTGTAAGGAGACTCAGTGGGCATGGGTTAGGTTATTGGCAGACGCCAGACAGCAGGTTTAATGTTTGACTGCAGGTGGGAGTAGCCCCAAGCTGGGCAGAGAGGAGATTAAGGTGGGAAGGGTGGCAGCAAGAATTTGAGACAGTACTCCCTTCTCTTAGTTATGGACGCCATTGTTGTAGTGAACACCAGAACCTAAAGCAAGCTGGGAAGTCAGGGCAGGAACTCAAGCAAGTCAGGAACCTAGAGGCAGGAATTGATGCTGAGGACATGGAGGGGTGCTTCTTACTGGCTTGCTCCTTATGACTTGCTCAGTCTGTTTTCTTTTAGAACACTGGGCTGCCAGTCCAGGGATGGCTCCATCACAGTGGGCTGGGTCCTCCCCCATTAATCACTAATTAAACAAATGTCCCACAGACTTGCCTATAGCCCCATCTTAAGGAGGCATTTTCTCAACTGAGCATCCCTCCTCTCCGATGACTTTAGCTCGTGTCAGGCTGACATAAAACTATCCCCCTGCCCCCTTGATGAGGTCCCATGGAATGTTGCTGGAGTGAACGTCTCAGAATTGGATGGTAAAGTTACTTTCTGTGTAAATCTCTTCTGGAAAAGCCCCTCCTGGGGTACCACAGGATGTCCTAGTCAGGGTGCTGTAGGACCCCTAACTGGGAAAGGCTTGTCTTCCGTCTGCTGCTTTTATTGGACACTGGGCTGCCTGTCTGTGAGGTCTCTGCAGCCTTGTCTTGTCCCTCTGAGTGTGGCTGTGCCTGTCCTCATGAGAGCTTCCCTTGCACTCTGAGGTGAGTCCCTGGGTCTTGCTGTGGTGTAAAGGGTTTCTGGTCCCACATGATGGAGGGCTGTTGTGGGGAGAGGAGAGCAGGTGGCATGGTCGGCGACAGCGTGCAGCTCACTGAGGCGAGGGCAGGTCTGAAGCCCTTCTGCGTTTGGGTCAGAAAGCACATTTTGACAAGACGCGGGGTAGCTCTGAGGAGACTGCAGCGCGGAGCTGTCACAGAGGTAGCCAGCGGTGGTCCTAGGTCTGTCCCGGACTTCTGCTCTTTACTAGGGAGCTCATTCTTTGGAGGCTTCTGATCAGAGGATCAAAGTTGACCCTACCAGGGCCCCCCTTTTTTTCCTTTCTTGTGCCCTGAGCTTGTGCCGCCTAAAAGTTGGTGTATGTGGGGAGGGATGGGTTTCCCATCCCCATTATGCAGTTCATCCAGGAAGTCCCGTGGCATCATCCCCCAGAGGACCCACTTTCAGTCGGCTCCAGATGTCTGTCCCCTCACTTAGGAACTTCCCAGAACTTGTGTAGTCTCCTACAAGGACTCAAAGTGGTAGGCAGAGACCAGATGTATCACCTTGGATACAGATCCTCAAAATCAAGGTAGAACTTTAAGAGCATGGACTTTGGATTTGGTTGCACTTGACAACGCGAATAGGAAATGGTGGCCCAGTTATAGCCTGTGACAGGTAGGGCAGGTAACTATGCCTCGTTAAGGAGATGCTTATGGTGAAGCCAGCTCCCCAGGGCCTTGTGGTTTCAAAGCCTTATTCCTAGGGTAGAACTGGTACTCACCGGTGCTTCAAAGTTCCAAAGGCGGTTCCTGTGAGGGGGAGGGGGGCTTTCTTATTTGGCCTCTGACCTTTGAGCTATCTGTGGAGTAGAGGTATAGGTGGCCGCCAGTTCATCCTGTTGCCTTGTGTGGCTGTTTTCCTTTAAGACGGGGTATATATGGGCAAGCCACACTCGTTTCCAAATCAGCTCTGAGGTCCCGGTTATGACCAAGGAGACTGGCACACAGCAGAGGACACATGAATTTATCAAGTGAGACAATGCCACACTAAGATGTCTGCTTCGGTGGCCTCTGGACTCACTGGCCTGGCTTCTGAGAGCGGTAGAGCTCTGAGGATGCCTGTTTATGAGGAGAGTCAGAAAAGCCTGGGCCGTAACCATGGCTGCAGCAGCCTCTTCTAGAGCTGCTGAGCAAGCAGGGAGCAGGCCAGCACTGATGAAAGCCAGCATGCCTGCATTTGCATTTACTGAGGGCTCTGCTTCCCAGTTGTGACAGCCACTAAGAGCTGTTTACCCCTTCTTTCCGCTGTGACTATGAGATCTTGGGAACTTGGCCTGGTGAGCACCTGGAGAGAAAGTCAGTGGCAATGTGGCTCACAGATGTGTCTGGGAAGAAGCGCACCTCTGACTGGCCTTTGGTGAGCGACATGGATGTCATGTGGATGTGGGGTATGCTCCCAACCTCAGGTAGCCCTTCTGCAGTTGCTCAGCCTTGCCAGAGGGTGTGGTAGTCCTTGGAAGGAAAGCTCTAGTCATTTCTCTCAATTCTCCTCCCAGGAGGGGTTTGTAGCTCCCAGGGCCTGATCCAGAACCAACCATCAGTGTCCCAAATACCTGGAAATCTTCATTTTACAAACTGGATTTTGTGGCCAGCATCTGAGTGAACGACTTGCTAAAGGACATGCTTACATGCAGAATGCTGGGCCTAGGGGTGTTCTCTTACCCCCTACCTTGACCCCCTGAATCTTCCTCCTATCCAATTGAGACTCACCTTGACTGCCCCAAGACTCTGGTTTCGGGCACCCCTCCTGGTCCCACAGTCTCCAGGGGCCCAGCACAGTTTCTGTTCTTGCTGCCTTCCTCCCATGCTCATGGGATAGTCCTGCCATGCCCTCCTGGGACAAGAAGGTATGAGAGCCCCTCCCACAGCCCCCCAAGGAAGGCATAGTACTTTGTGAGCTGAGTTTGGGTATTTTGGAGGAAGATCTTTGTTGAGAAAAGTCTGTCTTTTGTGGAAGTCTTTGTGAACAAAGGAAAGGTTTAAACAATGCGTATCTTCCTCCGCCTGATGCATGCCACTCTCTGAAAACACAGGGACCAAAGTGTGGCTCTGGCTCCTAAGTGCCTGCCCATGACTGATGTCCCAATAAAGGGTGCCAGGTGTCAGGCTGTGTTCGCTTCTGGGTGCTGGCTATGCCCCACACCTTCCTGCAGCAGCTTTCTCTCAGAGGCTTTGCCTTCTCCAGAACAAGGCTTGCTCTGTTCTGTTCTTGGCTTCTCGTTTCTCGCTCTTCTAGTGGCATGGAGGGCCCTTCAGAGAAAATACTTCTAATCCTTCTCATTGCCTAGAAGCATCCCATTGTCTGGCTGAATCAAAGCTTGTTGTCTCTTCACAGCCTGATGGGCATCTGGGTTATTTCTGGGCTAGCTTATTCCAAATAAAGCTGCCGAGAGCATTTGTGTCTAAGACTTCGTGCCGGTGAGTGCTTGCCGTTTTCTTGTGTAAATGCGTAGGAGTGGGCAGATGACAGAATTTGCTGAATTTACATTTAGTGTTTTAAGAAATGAACCCAGTACTTTCCAGATTGCCTGTTGCCGTCTCACGTCCCCAACCATAGTGTGTGGTACCAGTTTCTCTGCATCTTTGTCTTCTGCGGTGGCTGGGCTTTTAAATGGTTGTGTGGTCTCCCTAGTAACAAGCCATGCATATCTTGTAATGGCTTGTTGGCCATCCATGTGTCATCTTTGGAGTATCCATTTTGGTTTTTTTTTGGGTGTTTTTTGACCATTCTTCTTTATAAATTGGGTTGATCTCAAAACTGTGGGGTTTTGAGACTACGTCTACTTTATTTTTAATTGTTTTGGTTGGGGTTGCACTGTGTTTTCTGAGCTGGCCTCGAACTCACATCACCCCATCTTAGCCCTGAGTGCTGAGATCACAGGTGTGTGCCACTGTGCCCTGCCCAAGAGTTCATAACGGTCCACAAGCTGGCCCTTCTTCAGACGCATGCCTTGCAGGGTTTTCCCCTTGTGTATTGTGCTCCTTCGAACAGTATTCTTTGAAGAGCAGAACATTTTAAGCAGTCTATCAGGTTTTTTTTTTTCTTCGAGACAGGGTTTCTCTGTGGCTTTGGAGCCTGTCCTGGAACTCGCTCTGTAGACCAGGCTGGTCTCGAA